GCATGCTTTGTAACAAACACTCCTTAATGCAAATGGAAAGAGCTCACAGTTCTTCTGCATAAATACACCTTGTAAAAGTGAAGTACACTAGACAGAAACTTAAGAAGAAAGACAACAGATTCCTTCTTCTACTTCTGCTTTTGTTTCTGCTTTCTGCTCTCCTTTTTATCCAAACAAAGCACTCTTGTCTGTAATATTATCTTAAATAATGTGAGCTACAAATCTCAAGGAAAATTTGGTCAAGAAATATTAATGCTTGTGCATACCTACAGTTACCCATCATTTTTTAAAATATTTTCTATCCATTAAACATTTGAAAAAATAAATTAAAACATTTTATAGATTAAAACAATACTCTGTATTGGGTATTAAGGCCTTTATATTTACACGGTCTCTCTTTGTGAAATAATCATAAAAATACATTTGTCTAATAACTAGTAGTTTAAATATTGATTTTCTAATAGACTGATTCCTAAAAAGTCATTTGATTTAGGAATGATTATACTGTATATGGAAAGTACCCCTGGATTCTTTATGTGTGTCAGCTCTTTCCTCCACAACTCCCAGTCGGTCTCGGCAGATGTCCGCTAACACTGAGCTAGAATCTGCTGGAGGTTTTCTTTTCTACTGTCGCCACATGCATGCTCAGTATGAGGGATTGCTGCTAAGTGAGCCACTTGATGCAGTCGGCTGGGCTTCCCCAGACAGAAAACTGTTTATCAGCTGGAATAACAAACCGAACTCAGCTGCAATTTTTATAACAAGAATCAAACTGAAATGTTGGTAACTGAGTTTGAATCCATCAATAAGATTAAAACCAGCGCTTTAAATGTTCTCTGTGTGTCTCTGCTCTGTTCTCTCAAACCCCCAGTCGGTCGTGGCAGATGACCGCTCACACTGAGCCTGGTTCTGCTGGAGGTTTCTTCCTGTTAAAAGGGAGTTTTTCCTCTCCACTGTCGCTACATGCATGCTCAGTATGGGGGGATTGTCTGCAAAGTCAACGCCAGTGACTGTCCACTGTCTCTACATGCTCATCCGGGAGGAGGGAATGCTGCAAGTCACTGACTGGATGCAATCTGCTGGGTTTCCTTAGATAGAAAAACTTTTTATCCAATTTGAATAAATACTGAATCTGACTGCACTGTTCAATGATTAAGATTAATTGAAATGTACGTACCTGACTTTTGTGAAGTGCCTTGAGACGACATGTGTTGTGAATTGGTGCTATATAAATAAATTGAATTGAATTGAAAATGTAGAAATGTATTTTACACTTTACACTTTAATGTACGCAATAAGATGGCTCCTGATAAAGTAAAAGAATTTACTCCTTCAGATTTGAACAGATGGGTTTCATAATTGAGACTGTTAAGAATACATCATGGATTCAACAACAGAAATGTTAACAAATTGTGTTTTTGCAAAAGGCTGGTTCATTTACTGTTTTAATGTTCAATAATTAACATTTTTGCTTAGTGTTGATTGGCAAATTGTAAAACAACAAACAAAAGAGAAGTACTGAACTCTGATCTGAAGAACATCTTGAAGCAAGAGGATTCTGAGAAGATTAAACTTTTATTCTGAGAAATTTGTCCCTACATTACAAAAGCTGATGACAACGATGACAGTTATTCCATTGAAACCATTTGGTAAAGAAATGATCATATGCTTAAATTAATCACTGTCTGAAGTGATAAAGTTTAGTTTTAAATTTTTAGCCAAGAAAACTTTCTTTAAAATGAGTCTAGAATCACTTGGACCTTGTAAGTTGTTGTGAGTTTGGTTAAAATCAATTAAATAAATTTTGGCTCAGTCACTCAACTTTTTTTTGGTTTTGTTTCTCATTGACAAAAACTGAAGATCTTGCAAAAACATGACAAACGTAACATAAATCATGTGAATGGTTCTGCTGATCCAACGCTAAGTCATTTCCTGTCTCTCTTCTGTGTGGCTTTCCATTTAACCTCAGTGACTGGCATTTCCTCCAGTGAGCTTTTATCACTCACTATGCCAGTCAGAGCCAGAAATGCAACTTCTGTGTGCAAATGTAGGGTTTTGTTTAGAGATGAATAAAATTAAATAACAGTTAATTGTGGAAAAAGTCTTAAATATAACTGTTATGTTTCTCCTTAGTAGCATTTGTAGGACATAGTAGGACTTGTAGAACTTAGTAGGACTTGCAAATAAATGTTGATGCCTGAAATATTTATAACAATGCTGTTCGTTACACTGACTTAAACCCTTTGAGACTGAATGAAATTAAGTTTCACTTTATTTGAAGCCTGCATGTGAAGCTGACAGGTTTTTCATGTGCACACATGGCTTTTCTCCAGGTCATATGGTATTTTGAACATGCATATTTGTCTGCAGGTATTTTCAATTCGTTACACATTTCATCCTCTCATCAACTGGAGCAAGAGGATTTGGTAAATTATTCTAAAAATATTAAATTAAACTCAATAATACGATTCTTATCATTCATTTAAAACTTGGATTGTCTCTGCCATACGTTATAAATTAAGATATAGAAGATACTTTTTAGATTTTCCTTGGTAATATTATTACTTTTAATGCATTAAATGCCGTGATATTGTTACATCTGTACTCCATTCCTCTTTAAGTGCACTAAAAGAGTAACAAGCTACTGGCCACGTGTATGATGATAATGCTGTGCAATGCATTTACCATCTGGTGACCATCATACATTATTCTGACTAACTACCAGATACTGTAGTCACTGGCTGTAAAATATTACCCACACACCCAACACTTGTGCACTGTGGTGTCTGTTGTGGACATGCCAAATCAAGTCTTTTACATTCCCAGCACCGATCTGCATGTGGACCAAATTACATCTGATTTGGATTTTTCACTTTTGTGTCTGTAGTTGTTATTTTCTTTAATCCCTCAACACTGTTGGTTGCAGGAAATCAAAAAGCCTATGTCAACCTGTCTCTAGGGATGAGACTTAGGTTAATACAAACAGGTCAACCATTTATCAAATCTAGGCTTCAAATATGTAAGGGTGCTTACCAGGTTATCTCAAGTGTAAAAAAGTCCAAAAAGATTTCATGCTGTCAGTCATTAAACAGAGATGGAGTCAATATGGAGATGGCGTGTGTCAGGATGTGACATTTTGGACTTTGTTCATGGTTTTGTGTTTTGTTTTGCTAGATGTTTCTTGTTTGAGTTTTTGTATTCATGTTTATTGCTTTCTGTGTTCTGACAGTTCTGGTTTCCTTTTGCCTCCCAGTGTGTTCTCCTCTCGTCATTAGTTTTCCTCTTTTAGTTGTTAATTACTCAGTCTTTGTCCCCTTCAAATTCATTGTCCCTCTTAGCTCTGTTTCCTCTAATTTATCTTTATTCTCCAGTCCCTCCTTTTAGAGGTTAGCTTTAGTTACTGGTTACTTTTATTCTAGTCCTCATTCCCTCTGCTTCGTTCTCAGTTTGTTCTATCAGTGTTTACTTTTGTAGTCAGGGGTTCTTTATGGTTTCTTTTGCTAGTCCTTAGATCTTAGGTTGTTATGCTGCCTCCAGTTCTCAGTTTCCTTTAGTTCATATTTATTCTTGATTCTGTTTTATCTTGGTCTGTAGTTTTCGTCTAGGTCTGTTTCACTGTTTTGTTAATTAGTTCCTTTCCTCATGTCTTAGTCTTATTAGGTTCACCTGCTCCCTGTGCTCTTTGTTCCCTGCTGGTTCCTTCGTTCAAACTTGGTTCGCAACTCTCTGCTCGTCTTTGCCTTGAGTACCTGCAATGTCCATGTAAGTCTTGGATCTGACTCTGTTTAGATCTGCAGTGTTTTTTTTGTTACGTTTTGATATTTTGAATAAAGCTGAAGACTGCTATCCAATATGCTGCTGCCAAGCTCTTGCCTGCGCTTCGGTCCACCCCAAAACCACACCGTGACAGCGTGTATGGAAAACTAAGAATATCCAAAACCCTACTTGGACTCAGAACCCCTACTCTTCTCAAATCCCCAGTCAGTCGCTCACATTGAGCCTGGTTCTGCTGGAGGTTTCTTCCTGTTACAAGAGAGTTTACTTCTTCACTGTCACTACATGCATGCTTAGAATGAGGGAATGCTGCAAAGTCAATGCAAGCGACTGTCCACTGTTGCTACATGCTCATCCAGGAAGAGTGATTGCTGCAAGTCACTGACTGGATGCAATCTGCTGGGTTTCCGTAGATGGAAAAACCATTTAACCAATTTGAATGATAATCTGACCTTGACTGCCTTGTTTAATAACTAGGATCAAACTAGAATGTATGTACTTGACTTGAAAACTGTCTGCATGATTGGATTACATTGACTGTTTGATGTAAAGTGCTATGAGACAACATGTGTTGTGCACTGCCACTATATAAAGAAACTAAATTCAATTCAATTATATAAGTTTGAACAAAATCTCAAAAATAATTTCATTTAGACATATATTGCTCTCTGAAGACTTTATTTTACAGTTTGGCCGTTAACCGTTAAGACATGATACCTTACAGAATCACAGTCACAGAATCATGTTTACAGTAGATGATGATTAGATGGTCGAAAAGTCCATAAAATAATCTGCGGTCAAACTGACAGAACAGGTACGGACTGTAGTATATCCCTTTGCAGACGGCTTCCTTTTATATCTAAAAATAACAAAACTGCAAATTATAAATTATAAAGTCCCCATATGGCAGCGAAAAAACATGCATTTACAAGAAAAACATGCCAACTCCATCCATCCGTCATCTATGTCCACTGCTCCTTGCAGGGTCGATGATGGGGCTGGTGCCGATCTCCAACAACCATTAGGCAAGAGGCAGGGTACACCCTGGACAGGTTGCCAGTCTATCACAGGTTGATACAGAGAGACGCAGGACAAACAACCAAGCAGACACACTCATACTAGAGGGGATTTAGAGAGACCAATTAAGCGAACAGTCATGTTTCTGGACTGTGTGAGGAAGCTGGAGAACCTAGATAGAACTCAGGCATGCACTAGGAGAACATGAATGACCCCAGGCTGGGAGTCGAACCCAGGACCTTCGTGCTAAAAGGCTAAAGTGCTATCAACTGTAACACTGTGCCTCAACCCCAAACAGAAAGGCCTAAATCAGATAAACCTGCCATGAGATCACGGTGCTAAAGACGGTTCTACCACGCAGCCCCACCTGGTTCCGAACATTTTTATTTCCTAATCCCCTAATGAATATGTGAACAAAGGTTTTGCCGTTTGTATAACCTCTGGTTTATTAGGGTTTCCTTACACCCACACAGGGAGGAACTCCCTATTTTTGACTTAACTTTCCGAACAAAACATTATGATGAAAGTGGTTCCAGAGGGTAAAGTTTTCGGTCACTTGGGGAATTCCCCTAGAATCTGCATCTCGTTCCTTCACATGTTAGAGCTGGACGGATTTGGAAAATGACTAACCGGAAGAGCTGCTTCTGCTTTTTGGGCCTTTAAGTAGCGGCTGTCGCCATTCAGCCGTCAGTTCACCAAGCTTCCCGGAGAGGAACAGAGCCAGCTGACCAACAGAAAAGACTTTCTTCAGCATTTCTTCTCATATTCATTGATAGTGAAAATGGTGAACTTTGCCAGCTTGTTGAAGAGTTCGTTGGTCGCCATCGCTTTGGCGTTCGCTACTGGACATGCAGGTAAGACTGAATTGAAAGTGAAATTGTGACAGGATTTCTTTTTTTTTGTTAAACGTTAAGTTATTTGACACTTAAAGCTGTTGATCTCCATGTTTAGATGAGAAGTTAGCTACATGTTGCGAGAGAATCAACAAAAATGAGATCACCGAGCCAATCTTGGGATTCTTGATCCAGACGGCCCGTTATCCATGCGTCAATGCAGTCATGTAAGTAGATGTTTTCTCTACTCTGCTCCAAGTGTTGGAAATCAAATGATTGTTTCACAAAACACGAGACTTTTAATGATTTTTAATCAAAATTGGCAAAATATTAAAAGGAAACATATTTATGATGCTCCCCTTCATTTATTGATTTAGGTTTTATTCTTCAAAGTTTTCTTAAATTAATTTGAGTATACAACATCCACTGATACATAATGTGCATTCTAATCATTTATATTTCTTATCCTTGCAGCTTTCAGACAGGAACTGGTCTTTACTGCAGTCCAGTGAACGCTCCTTGGGTTTACAGCAAGATTAGAGAATATAGGTTGGTTTAAAATTGCTGCACAAAGGCTCCTAAGGTCATTCATTGACCTGGTTTACACTTCATTCATCTGTCTTTCAACCTTTCCTCCAACAGGAGAACAAAGGCTCAGTCAAAGACTCCATCTGTGGTCAGTTCATCACCATCACCAGTCTCTCTTCTCTCCATCATAACATCAACCGCTTCCCCCCGTTCACCCTCCACCCTGCCTCCTTCCTCTTCCTCTCCTTTCTTTACGTCCATCTCCACCATGACATCTGGAGACACGTTTTCTGGAAACGAAGAGGAAGAGTCCTCCATGTCCTCTGCCACCATGTGGTGAACGGAAGCCGCAAAGTAACCGATTACCCATCAACGCCGAACGTCTTGGTTGGGAAACTTGAACGACTTAGCTATATTAAATTGTTTTAGGATTTTTAGTTTCTTTCATAAATTTAATATAATTATTTATTTGGTAAAGAAGAATTTGTTGTTTTGATGCAGTAAAGGATAATATTTATTACCTTGCGTATTTATAAACATTTGGAGTAACTGTATGTCAACTCACTCATTTGTTTGTGAAAATGTACTGGAGAACTTTGTACTTTGTGGTAAAGATCTGCAAAAAAAAACTTCATGAATAAATGTTCTTATGATTTAAATGGAATATCTGTTCATTTACATTTTATGTTCTGGTTTCCTTCCCATGAATGCAAAAAATCCTCAAAACTAAAGGTACAAGTCAGTAGTTGAAGGCGGCAGATTATGAAAAAAAACTATGAATTTCCATTGCAGGGTAATGCAAAAACACAAGTAAAAAAGTGTCTCATTCTAGCTGTATTATAGTGATACTAGTGATAGTAATGCGTTATTTTTTTTTTTTACTTTTTCTTCTGGTGTTGACGGGAATGATGGGGATAGTATAGGCTGAGTTGGAGGTGTTGCAATTAGAGGAAGAGTAGAAACAATAGAAACAAGTCCAAGAACAGCCCAAGGAAACTACATGAGGTATTCAACAACCAGGTCTTTAGAAACCAAGAAAAAAGAATCTCCAAACTTAACAGGTCATCATGGTGGGTTGAGGCACCCAGGTGGACCTACTGGAATGCAAGCTCATCATGAGGACAAGAAGTATGGAGGTAAAAGAAGCACAAGCAAGCTTTCATCCAGAAATCATTTGACCCAATACCTGAACACGGCATTTTACTTACAGACCCAAAAAGAGGAATAGGTAAGGGGTCAGGACCCCCTTGCAGTGTTAATGATTGTGCATTGAAGTGTTTTACATTGAACACCATTAGAGACAATGTGAACTTGCCCTGACACCCCCGTAGGTCTTAACAGGAGCATCTATGACCTTTATGGAAAACAATGCGCTAAATTAGGCATTTTGTAGAGGCAGAGAGGCTGAAGAAGCACCAGCAAGCTCCACCCAGATCATTGAGTACAATGTGCAAATATCTAGAGGTGTCTGGTTTTTGTATTCAAACAGTTACATGCAAATATAAACACCCTGAGATTGTCAGCAATTATACTTTTCAGGCAGGAGAGGAGTTCTGTGACTCAAAGTATAGCATGTTTCGGATGCAAAAAGCATCTCCCAGTAATATTTAGTTCCAGCCATGTTTTGTTTTCACTCCTTCCACAGCTTGTTATCAGCTTCATTCGGTCCACCTGCACCATGCAATCAGTATCTTTGTGTCACCTGAACCATGGTCAATATATACTCCTCCATTCTGTTTACTCCTCACGGAAACATTTCATCTGTTCATGCCAAGCCTGCGTTTCACACCTGCCGGCCACCATCTACTAAAGAAAGTTTTTGTCCATTAAAACTTTACTCACCGCAACTCTCCCTGCTGTCTGCATTCTGGAATCCACCCCCACATCACTCCTTGACACTCGTGCACTTCTAAAAATAGATGGAAGCATGAGGAAAGGACTTTATGGGAGCATATTGAAACAGCATCACAAGACATCAGCCTTATAGTTAGAGCTGAGATTAGCCATCTCAAAAATCTGAGATTGGCCCATGGACAATTGTGGGCAGAGCTGAAAAGGTGTGCGTGAGCAAGGGGACCTATGAACCAGACCCAGTAACACCAGTCCTGTCAGGACAAATGGGTCAGATTTTCAACTAATTTGTAGAAGGAAAACCAAAACGTTTGACCCATGTCATACAGTTTAAAAGGCAGTTTTACCAAATATGAATGAAATGTATGTAAACTTCTGACTCTTTGTTATTCTGTCATTTAGCAAATAGACGGAAATGTGGTGATCCTAATTGACCGAAAACAGGAAAAGTTTAGCCGGATTTAATGCCACATAGCGATAAAACGTAAGGGTTTGTGTATCTTTACACAGTGTGAATAAATATCTGGTTTAAACTTTTTATACTGGAAGGTTAAAGTCTGGCCCTCACACGAGGTCATCCTCATTCTCCATTAATTACTTGTGTCCCGTCTGTAAAGACCAACAACATTTGTCTGAACCCAGGCCCGAAGCTTAACAAGGCAGCCAGACTCCAAGAACTCCATGAGTTGGCCCAACAGCACCGCTCAGGTTCTATTTCCAGCTCCAAAATAAGATACTAGCAACAAAGCTGGGGCAAAATGGAGATTAGCCTTTCCTTTCTTAGGTTTTTAAAACCCTGGAACAATTACCAGTTTGGGTTTGAAAAAAACCTGCCTGAAGCCTCCCTGACAACCTTCAGGGAGGCTTCAGGTCCACCGGATCAGCTGCAGGGCGGAGTGGATTCATCTTGGCCTTTTACATTAATTAGCTCCGTGTGAATGTCTTGACTAAACCAATCAAGCTGCTGCATTGAAAACCATATATAGTGTTGTGTGAAGGTGTTCAGATGTCAATGTTATGAGTTGTTTGTGTTTTTCTGGGATGGAAAACATTGTGACTGCGTTACAGTAAGTCATACCCACACAGATTGCCAAATCTGTTGTGACACAAATGCAACAAATGCAACTTCCACAAAACAAGAAAATTCTAACCTTAAAAGCCTTAATTGTTTTAACTTGTTTTTAATAAGTTACTATTAATCTTTATTACAGATTGACTGCTTTTTTGCTTAGTAATGTCTGTACGTAAATTAGAGTTTTGGCACCAGTGTGACCTCTGATTTCCCTTACATCCTTACATCCACATGACGAGGAATGAAGTGAGATAAAAATACTTCTTGTATTACAATTGATTTATCTTTGAGAACTCATTTGTAAATCATCATTTCAATTACTCAGATGTTGAGAATTATGTGGATGAAGAGAACCAGGAAGATGACAAACTAGAGGCAATACTTCCGCTTTTTAGAGCTTCAAATATAGTCTTTCTTTAGAGCTACTAGTTCACTAAGGTCTTCAGAGGGGAAGTGGGACGACTGACCAACTAAAAATACTTTCTTTTCTATTCTATGATCTCTATGATTGTGAAAATGGAAAACTGCAGCCTGTTGAAGAGTGTGTTGGTCGCCATAATCATGGTGGCTGCTTCGGGACATCAAGGTAAGGTCAAACTTAAACTGATCATGGTTTAGAAGCAAATACCTATGTGTTCCTTCCTTTTAAAGTAAAATATTTAATTTTTTTGCTCTCAGATGAAAAGCTGTCTGCTTGTTGTAAAAGTGTCGGCACAACAGAGATAACAGAACCAATAATATCATATAAAATCCAGAAGTCAAATCCTCCATGTGTCAAAGCAGTCATGTAAGTATGACGATCATTTCTGCATTTACTGAATGTGCTCAAATATTAGCAATAAAATTTCAGTAAATTACCTTTCAGGAAATCGGTTTATTCTGCAACAAAGACATTTAAAAGCAAATAATCATTTAGGACCAAAATTATTCTGTTAATTTTGTTTTTCAATCTTCTGCTTATTTAAGAATAAAATAAAGAAACCTATTCATCTGTTTCCTG